AAAATATTTGATAAAAATAAAATTAAAATATTTGATAAAAATAAAATAATTAAAAAATAAAAAAAATATTTGGTAAAAAAAAATATAAAAAAAATATAATAAAAAAATATTTGATAAATAAAAACAAATATTTGTTAAAAAAAAATAAAAATATTTGATAAAAATAAAATAAAAATATTTGATAAAAATAAAATAATTAAAAAATAAAAAAAAATATAAAAAAAATTTAATAAAAAATAAAATAAAAATATTTAATAAAGAAAAAAAAAATTTTTGGTAAAAAAATAAAAACAAATATAGGTTAAAAAAAAAAATAAAAATATTTGATAAAAAAGTAAAATTATATATAAAATTAAGCACAAAATTTATTATTTTGGAAATATCCATTTCCGGCGATTTTTCAGTTTCAATATATAACATTTGTGTTGTTGGTGATGGTGGCGGCATGGTGTTCCGTTGAACAGACAATATTTCAGAGTTCGTATAGCAGGTGTTTTTACATAGAAATATCAATTTTTAATTGCATGTTTTTTTTGTTTTTGTTTTTTGCATAAAATAGAAAAGAGAAAAAATTTTGGAATACAATAAAATGAAAGCAAATAAGAATAAATTTGCAAATTATATTTATAATGCTGTTCCAATTTTTATGCTAATATCTTTCTCTTTTAGTACAAGTACATAGCTTACATAACAAAAACAACACAACAAACACAGGCAAACAATAAGAAATAATTGGTATTAAAGAAAAAAAATCAATATATGGTATACAAACATACATAAAATATTAAATGTCTGGGACTAGTGCGCTTTGTTGTAAGCTGTTTTTTTGCTATTTAAATTTTTAAGTACAATAACAGTAATTTGAAAATATTTATTTTTAACATGTACTGCATTTTTTTTTAACATTTGGCATTTTTATTGGCTCAGGAGCATTTTTTGAAGGCGATATAAAGATTTTTATTAAAGCAAGTGAAAATGATTTAAAAATTTTGTTTGTGCCTGTCCGGGTCAAATTTGATCATATGGTAATATATTTATAACACAGCTGAAATGCCCGCTGTGAGAAGCTCATAGTAACATAGACTTATTGTCACTGACTCTCGACATATATGTTAGAACCTGTTAAGGATGTGAGTCTTAATACATATTATCGTGGAAAGCGTGTTATGAGAAGCGTTTTAGAATAAAACTTATACGATGTTTTCATGTTACCGACAGAAAGTTAAGTAGAAACAATTAAAAAACAGAAAATCAAGATGGTCATGTGGTAATCAAAAACTCAACGCAACCGGCTATGACGACCCATAGAGTGTTACCCATATTTTAGTTGATAGCTTCCCTACTTTATTTAGTTTTTAGCGTTAAATGTATGTATGCTTACATATATACCATAAGTATATATACTATATATAAGTATACTATATATAAGTATATATACTTATATACTTATGGTATATATGTTATTTCATCAACTGCAGTATTATTTGCTCGATTGCATTACAAGACTTCAAAGTGTTAATTGAATGGCCAAGTTTTGATAGCTGTAAGGTGAGCCAACATATTGCAACGGTTTATGTATATACATATATGTGGATAGGCGTAGTTCCATTAGTGGAAATGCTGTAAAATTTCGCTAGTGCTTGCTTGCAGTGCGAACTTTTAATTGTCTTGACTGGGCGTGCTACCTATGCTATGTATGCGAGCAACTTTTATATATTGTAGTATGGCACATATGTATATACACATATCTAACGTTTGGAAAATTTGTGATTAAAACCCTAAACAGGGCATACATATGGAGTTTTGCTTTGAAGTTTGTAAATGATCAGCGTGACGAGATGAGTTGTTTAAGCTATGTCCGTTTGCATATACACAAGTTAGTGCCTTTGGTTTTGAGATCCCGATCTGAAATTTTGCACATGCTTCTCACTTGTCGAAACCGCCGATATTGCTATAGGATATAGTTGTCATACAAACTAACCGATCAAAATCCAGTCTTTGTATGAAAAACATTTTTATTGGATATGCAGCTACCAAATATTGCTGTAGCAGTACTTTCCTTGCTTTTTATTGCAATTTTCAGTTTCGGATATTATAAAAATTCATGGAAAAAGTCGCAGAACATCATGATAAATAAACCCGTGCAAAACTTATCACAGCCGTCTTCTTACAGAGCCTTTCCAAAATATTCGAAAAAGTGTTGCTACAAATTTCAAAGATATCTTCTTTCATCCAAGAAATAATATAATTCCAACGCACCAGTTCGGGTTTCGGGCAAAACATGGCGCTGTAGAGCAATAATAGAATTACTAACGAAATCAGAAAAGCATTCGAGGTCAGAGACTATTGTTCAGCAATATGTCTTAATGTACGGCTTTTTATATAACATTAAAAAAAATTCATTTCCGAATTTATAAAATATTGGAGTCTTATTTAAAAAAAGGAAATATAGGTACTGTTAAATTAGCTAATTTCATATCTGATCAACGACCGATAAGAACTGGTTTACCTTAAGACAGTGTGCTAGGCCCAACTCTATACATATATCTTATATACAGCAGATGTTCTAACATATTTATAATAATGTATTGACATCCATTTTTGCGGATCAGAGCGGCAAGGGTACTAGAGGAGCAGTTAGCTATAGTCGAAGAATGGCTAGACAATTGCAGCAAATTTAAACTTTAAATAAAAATACAAAACTTAGCCTTGACAACATAGTTCTGCTATACAATACAATAATACAAAAGTTCCAGTCAAAAATCTTTAGAGCGATAACAGGTTCACAATGATACGTTCGAAATGAAAACATTCACAAAGATTTTGGTATTCCAATGATAAAGAAAGAAGAAGGAAATTCGAACCTAAACCTCGGGAACATCCACATACATTAGCTAATGCCTAGCTACAATATTGTAATCAAACTTCAATTGTATGACAGCTATATGATAAAGTGATATGTTCTGAACTATTTCTTCGGATAATACATGGTTGCCTCAGGAAACAACTCATGCCAAATTTCGTGAAGATATTATGTCAAATAAAAAAAAGTTTCCCATATAAGCACTTAGTTTCGATTATTCAGTTCGTATGGCAGCTATATGCTATAGTGGTCCGATATCAGCCGTTCCGACAAATTAGCAGCTTCTGAGTGATGAAAGGATAGATGCAAAATTTCAGATCGATAGCTAAAAACTGAGGAACTAGTTTGTAAAGAAATTCAGCAGGGAAATTATTAGCCTATACTCAGGCAAAACTTTAGCTAAGTCATACACCCAAAAAGTCAATATCAAAACAAACGTTTAAAATTGCTGTAATTATTTGAAATAAATGGAAGCTAGCTATATGCTATAACTAAAAAAAAATGTTTTAAAAATAACATATTGAACATTAATTATACAGTTATCAAAAAATTTAAGACAAGCACTGTACTTTTTAGTCAAAAAATTTAAATCATTACAGCGAATCCCAAATATTTTTACTGACAACATAATGAAGTTATTATTACAACAAAACGATATGATTTATACCACACTCTAAATTTTTAAGGGCTTTCACGATTACACTACAGACAGTCAACAGAAATTAAATTTTTAAGAATTTAAATGAAAATGTTAGGAAAAATTTAGCCAAAAAATAATAAAAATAGTAGCTTGAAGTGACACTTAGTCTATATTTTTACTTAACTATTATATACACAAATGTATATGTATGTATGTATATAAGGATAGTGATGTGTGGCGTCTAGCTTTATTTGTGCCTTTGAGTTTAGGTCACACGCTACAACAGATTAATTTTTTTTTCAAGGTTAAATTGAAATTAACGATTGAGTGGCGTGAATGGTATAATAACAACCAACAAATAAAAACAATACATTGTGAACAGGAATATATAAACTGCTCCTTGAGCTTAAAAGAAAATTATGTGATTTTTACAACGTCACAACATTTTGATAATCCAAAAAGTGTACCTAAAACGTGATGAGTTCGATTCGAAACAAATACGCGATAGAAAAGTTGAACTTTGAGGAGTGTGTGGAATATGCAACGTGACGATAAGGATGTCAAGTCACGAACAAATGTATACAAACAATCTAAACAAACTTATATACATAAAAGAAGTAAAGAAGTACATAATTACATAACGGACATGAATGGCGAATGGTGACAAATCGTGACAGGAAATGTGGGTGAACAAAAAAAAGTGTGATAACATGTGCGAATAGCTTAATGGATTTTTATTTCAAATACCTAGATACATATGGCTTGAACAAGTGAGTAAATAGCAAATGTGTGAATATGTCAGTCGCATTACAGCAGAAATTGAGGACAGATCGCTTTTGCTTACTTCCAATAATAATACTGTACAAATGATTACATATAAATACACACTATCATGTTCGTTTTGGGGAAGCTCACCAAGGTTAGTGGAGTTAGGGATACAGGCGATTTAGTTACATCACATGCATTTTTTAATTTATTGTAATAACATTTGATTAAGAGCAAGTATTTTAGCTTGACACTTACCTGAGTTTCGAGAGCAAGCTCTGAAATATCGTGCAATTTTTGGCGTCTTTGATTGTCACTATAAATTGATTCGCCTGCACCACATTGTACTCATACATGCCGGGACGCATCTGAAAGCGACAAAATTCGCCGGCAAAGCCACGCCCTATGGTACCGCCGCCAATGCCGCCCAAGGGCACACCATAAATTTGTTTACCGTTCTCCATGTAATAGTAGTCCATGTAGCAACGACGATTCTCGCGCGACACCTTCCAATAGTAGGCGGAATATCTGTGGAGGAGTATCGTAAGGAGAAAGAAAGAGTGGTAAGTTTTTTTTTTAATTTTTTATTCTACAGGTTTCTGTGATTAATAATTTACTAATTCATAAGCGAAAATTAAATTTATTATAAGGTTTTTGGTCCAAGCTAAATTTTAAGTATTCGTTTGAATAACTTGAAAATTTAAAAAAATAAAATAAAATACATCTATTTTGCTAAAAAATAGTTTTTTACTTTGAATGTAGCCTAGTAGTTCAATATATTTATATGAGATGAAGATGACAGTCGGGTATACATAAACGAAGGGTACTCAGATTTTAATTTGGACAAGGACTGTCAAAGCGACAGCGTTCTTCGATGATGTCCGGGAAAAGTTTTCTATCATTACAAAAACAGCACATAAGAGAGGTCATTGCTGCCTACGAAAGAAAGGTTTTTTGGACACTAATGCTGTCGATAGATTGATTTATTTTATCGCGAGGAATCACTGGCTAGACCTTGCATGCATATATTCCAGCTTCCACATTTCTAGCATAAGTCTCTTGGCCCCTGCACCGGAAGGTTCGATATTTGCTGCCAGATTGTGATTCTTAAAATTTTCCTATGCGAAAGTCTTGACTTAAATTTTCTAGGCTAACTAGTCATAAATACGGTCTGCAAAAGTATTGACTTTCAGATTTATTTCTAAAATTAAAGCCAAATTAATTACTCGATGGCTTTTTGGCAATTAAGGCAATCTGTGTGGGTAAAAAGAACACACCATAAAAAAATCAATTAAAAAAGGAGTCCACAATTTAGCCATACTATACACTGACAGCAGCTCCATGGCAACAGCCGCTATATTTTTATGATATACACAACGTTATATAATACATACATATGTACATAAATATACAAAGGCTCCATCAGCGCGCACAAACGTTTTTTATTCGCTCTCTTGCACACGTGCGGGCAGGATAATGAGGCAAGTGGTGAAAATGTAGCGAAAGCGCGTACCAGCGTGTGGTCACAAAGTGACTTGCCATTGAAAGATGATGTCATAAATGCAGTTAAAAATAAATTATGAGCAATGCAGAGCCAAACGCACACAAAGTTGCCTAAAGGATTACGTTCTCAGAAAGGAAAAGATTAAAATGTAGCCAATTGCACGAAACAGATTTACGAGGGGGCACAGTGAAAGTGATTTAATGATTTAAATTCTGGTTTCTGAAAATTTTAATACATACAAACATACACTTTCACGTATATTCTCACACACATACACAAAGCGCCTTTCAAGGTCAGCGTATAAACACTTTGCCTACGTCTAGGCGTCGTACACCGGCACCGTCAAGTGCAATGTCATGCCTCGACCCCTTAACGGTCACCGGGAAAGCTCGCACTGTGCAGATTTCCTTCTTACTTTATACACACTTGTGACATTACAAATGCACGCCTGTGTATGACATAATTTAAATAAAACATTGCAAAGGCGAGGAGGCCATAGAAGTGCTCACGTGCGGGAGGAATACAAATGTATAGTTGCTCGTATGAATGTGTGTTTTTGTTGTTGGTTTACATTGTTGACACATTTACGTTTGAGCGAACGTATGGTAATGATGGACATAGCGGTACTTAATTCAAGTGATGAAGTCATTCACAACATGCCCGCATTTCTGCGTGCTGTCATGGCGTATAAGTAACCTTTTGGTCGTGAATATTTTATAACTATTTTATCAACTTAGTAACGGAAAGTGTCAATAACATTTTTGAAATATTTATTTGAGCTTTGGAAATGCTTTGGATTTCTTAAATACAAGTTAAGAAGAACCACCTTTTTTCTACTTTACTTTAATCAGGAATAATTTTTATTAAAAATTTTGATAAAAAAGTTTAATTTAAGTTGGTGGTATCTAACTTTGCTGCATCTTATGCAGAAAGCTACGCTAATTTATTATTAGTAGTTATTTTTGTTTAGAAAATTACCTTTACCTCATAAAAATGTGTCCTTGCACCGAAAATGGATAAAATCGGGACAAAACTTCGCTTAACTTCCATTTACGTAATATAAGTTTTTCATACATATATCTCATTTAAGTGAATTAGGCCTATTTTAATACAAATATCTCGGATATGAAGTAAAATAAATAAAAAAAAACTGTGTCTACAACCTATAATATTGGTTAAAAAGATACCAACTTTATTGTCATTTTACGCTTTCGTCGAATAATGAATGGTAGGTTCTTTCATTCAACATTTTTCCCAGAATTGAAAGTACGCCTCCAATCTCCATCCATCCCAATGACGAGAGTATACAATTTTGGGTTCGGTTTTTAAGTTAGTTTTTTCTTTTGATGGAAAGTGAACAAACAGTATAGAGTACAACTTATATAGGTATATATATATATATATATGGACTATCACCTATATGGTGTGTGAAAATTAAATTAATAATTTAATAAATTAAAAACTCTGTGATCAGAGATACAGAGATCCCAAATGTTCTTTAAGTGCTGATAATACTCATACATAATTCATAATTTTAACCTTACACATACAGTTAATGATAAAAGTATGATAAAATAAGTATATTTAACTCAAAAGTCATATATATACGCATATACTTAATGTGCAAGTATATATATTATAACTAAATCTACTCAATCACTGTAAATTAATTTATAACGCCTTTTATCCAATCGGCTAATTGAGAAGATTAAAATAAAAAATATATCAAAAATCAAGAAGAAACGTTAACTTCAGCTCCAGCGAAATTATAATACCCCTCACAGGTGATTTTGGTATAGCATGAAGTAACAAAAAGAACACAAAGAACTTTATCTTGATTTTGATCGGTCAGATTGTATGGCAGCTAGTTATATATTATAGTGGTTTGAACTGAAATTTTTTTTTCGGAAATTGTTGCGCTGTCTTGGACAAAAATCCATGCCAAATTTCGTAAAGTTTTCCCGTTTATTGAAAAAGTTTTTCATACAAGTACTTGATTCCGATTGATCAGTTTGTATGGCAGCTATATGCTATAGTGGCCCGATATCGGCGGTATCGACAAATAAGCAGCTTCTTATGGAGAAAAGTATGTATTCGAAATTTCAGAACGATATCTCAAAAACTGAGGGACTTGTTCGCGTACATACAGACAGACAGACGGAGAGGGCAATATCGACATCGACTCAGACAAACAAAGTTTAATTCTGACGTTTCATTCTGGGTGTTATAAACTTCGTAGCAAGCATAAAATATCCTGTTCAGGGTATAAAAATTTACGAACTTAAATAGTAAGTACTCTCTTATTAGCAATCCAATTCAAAATCATTACAAAGCTTGTGAACAGCTTCGAAGCAGTCTTCGCTGTCACGGCGACAACACACTGCTATATTTATACAGAATAAATTAGACCCACCACCGAACCGTAAATGGAACTCTGCGTATAAATATGATAAAATATGCAAAGCGGAAAAAGGAAAACCAGTCGAAACAAATGTGCAAATGTCAGCGAAATTTTTTCAAGCCGCTCGAGTCATCATCGCTGACGTTGCTGAGTGATTGCAATTGAGAAAAGGGCGCTGCGACGGCTGAAATCACATTAAAAAGCACTTGTCACAAGTGTTTTTCACTTAATTCAATGCGAGCAAGAGACAGAAGCAGTGGGGCGCGGGCGTAGCGAAGCTACTTGGTCAAGATGGAGAGTATAACGTTGCTATAAAGAATACGCAGCACCGGCATTAGATGACGTTAAAACAGAAGTAAAATATTAACACAGCGGGATGTGTCTACTAGCTACCCATGTCTGCAGATACATAAGCATACAAGTATAAAAATATAACGCAGTCGTGACTTCCATCATTGTTGGGTATAGAAAATATGTAAAAGCGGAAGGTTCAACATTTCTTATAAGAAAAAATTAAATGAACTCAAATGAATTGAGTTCGTCCTACCAGCCTTTGGCGCCTAAAGACAGTCAAGCAGTTCTTTGCATGACTACTATTAGCTTGAGTGCGTTTTAGCGCCTAATTGTATGCTATATACATTAATTAAGTCACTTTTTGAACACGCTTGCGCCATTTTATTGAAAAGCATGAATTATGTTTGCCTTTTTTGTGACGCTTTTTAATAAATGATAGGGTCAACATTTCGTGACGTTTTCTTTAACTAATTAGACTGTTGCCGTTGGGTTCAATGTTTGTTGAATTTGAAAGTATTAGACATGGAAAAAAATGCTAAGGTTGGTTTCAGTGCTAAAAACCAATGAAATAACAAAAATTATAGAAATGCAAATAAATAAAAATTAATTTACCCGGGTCCTAACAACAAGCATCAGAGTGGATGACCAACAGATTCCATTAAAGACGGGCGGAGAAGGGAGACGGGATGGAACGGTTTTGGAAATCGATCCCGTTTCTTTGGACGCGGTGAACACTGAAGGCGGATTGTGGATAGATGAATCTGTCTTCAGTCTCGATCAGTTGTTCGAGGAAAATGGCAGCGAAAATGATGGTGGTACGGAACTAGCGCTTATGACAAGAACACTGGGTGATAAAGAACATTCAGACTGATTATTATCTCTTGCTTCGCCATGTAGGAAACAAAGCCGACGATGTGCTAACCTACGAGTCGTGGCTGAACAGCAGCAGTATCTTGGGTTAAGGATAAGTAGTAATAAGATCTTAGGGACTAATAAAAAGGTGGAACCGAGAGAAGAACTATGGTTATTCTTGGTGGATGTGGTTGATACCCCAATTGCGGGAAGAACTGAAATTTTGTCAGTTGAATGTGGAGTTGCATTGCAACCGGCTTCGAAACATACCACGGTGGTCAAAATGCCTGTCATTTTCAGGGCGCTGATCAACGCATTAATTTGATACGCTGTGCTTTTGAGCGCCGTGAGGAAAGGCTGTCATCAGCAAGTACCCACGATAAACACACCGGCGTTGGCCTATATGCCGCATGACGACGAGGTGAAGCTACCTTCAGAGTTGTTGAGGATTCTGATAGAGGCCAGGTAAAAGTGATC